AGGGATGATTGGTTTTCTAACTATACAGTTGACTTAGATCTAGCTGGTAGTTATAAATTGATATATATCAAACTGGTGTTAGATCTAGTTGACAGTTATAAATGGCTAAATATATCAATGATGTTAGGTCTAGCTGATAGTTATAAATGGCTAAATATATCAATGATGTTAGATCTAGCTGGTAATTATAAATGGCTATACAACAGATGCATCTAGTTGGCTAGAAATGTTTTATAAATTAAAAATGTCGGAAATGGATCTATACACTTCTAACCTAGCTGGCTAGAAGGCCAGCTAATAGTTTATAAAGTAGCTAAAATATAATTCCGTACCTTAATGTATAGATAAGCATGTGTATGGCATAGAGTAATATATTGTTATCACGAATATGTTTGTCTTTATTTCTGCAGTACCAAGCGACTTAAATGATATAGCCTCTACAATCCGACAGGAGTTTATTGATAAATTTGAATTCTATACTGTATCCAGTCAAGGTCACCGGTCGCTGGGAAGATTATCGGTTGGCGGTAGCCTTGGATTAGATCTAGTGTTTGCATTTGATTGCTCCTCTAGTATTGATCCCGTTGATTTCAATCGTGGTATGATATTTTCTAGACACATTGTGCGGGAATTTGGTGTTTCTTATGAACCAGGTACAGTATTTTTTTAATTTTTACAAATTACAATATGGGGGAAATATACGTCCTATGGTCACGTGTTCTTTAACCCAGGTTTGTAAAAATACATTACGCACTGGCTACATGAGCAGATTCTTGTAGTTACAAATTCAATGTGGCTGATTTATTAAATAAAACATTTTTTTGTCGAGTGTGGTTTCATTCAACCTCCAGGAATTGGGTTGATGTCTAGAGTGGTTCGATAAGAGTGACTAATTTAAACATTTTTTTGTTTATATGCACGACCTTCAAACTTGTAACTTGATTGAATTAATCAAAATTGTGCATTTGAAAATTACAACTTGATATTGAATATTTAAAATGTGTACTGTAATGTGCATTAATATGTAGGTAGATTTGACATGAATTCTGACACATAACATATATATTATTAGAGATTCTGAAGATTGCATTACGTATAAACTTTACATGTTTATACTGTGGTACTGAAACTATGGTATGAAGTTGAAATAACAATCCAATCATGGATCGTTAAACACAAGTCGTAGAGGCAAATTTAGAATTTATATTACACAAATGAAACAACTGCAGTCAACAACAAAATCCACGAGAACAAAACAAAACAAAACAAGAATAAGTCATTCAGTGAATATAGTGAATTTAGACGTATATCGCATTATGGTCGTATCCCACTTTTTGTTTTGTTTATAATATGGCACCAACCAATTACGTCACCATATCGTATTGTTGCAGGTGGTACACGTGTTGCTGCAATATCATTTGCTTCTGTCGCTACATTAGAATTCAACTTGGGAGATGATATTGTTAATACGACTGAAAAAGCGATAGAACAACTACAAGTAATACAGGTATTATATCATATCATAATTATGATAACAATGCAGGGTTATGCAGTGTTTGCATTAAAATTGTCATATCAAATGTATCCATTTAAATTTAAGTAATGTCAGTTGTATAATACACTGTATACCCCCGGTAATACATATGAATTTATTTTACCAAATCTTCAATACCACGTGACATACAATACTAATTGTTCTTAATAATATTGCTTTGCATTGCAACTATTGTTGACCCAGAAACGTTTATATATTTCGTTTCATAATAACATAGTTATGGATAATATCAACACTTATGTATGGGTCGTTTTGCATTTAGAATCAATCAGTTTAACACTCTCTTAATTTCACCCCACACATTCATAGACAAATTTAAACTCATTATCAATTGAACTCATAGTGTGATGATGTGTTAAAGATTGTCTTCGTATATTTATCTAATTCTGACAGGCATCTGGTGGTGGCACTGCTATGAAAGAAGCGTTTGAAATAATGTTCAGTGAAGTAGTGCCTAGACTACGCCCAGAATCTAAAAAGGCTATGTTCATAATAACCGATGGGAAATCCAATTCAGGCAGTCCAATTTCTTATGCCCAACGTCTTCGGGATCGGAATGAGCATGCTTTTGAAATTTTCGCTATTGGCATTGGTAATGGAGTTGATCGCAATGAACTGAAGAAAATTGCATCTGAGCCATTTACAAGTCACGTATTTTTAATAAGACAATATGAAGATTTGACAACACTGACGGATATTATTTCAGAGAAAAGGACAAGTAAGTCATTTCTGTGCAGTAACTTTTTTCTAAACTATTATTGTCTGTTTAAAATGGTATTGCAACGTATGAATGCGTAGACGTAGGAACGTTTGGCAGATAAAACTTACATTGGGGAGGAACTAGACTATACCCAAAGAAAGCATACCAGAAGTTCCTGCAGGTAGTCCAGCATTTATTACTAACTAACCCTCTGCATCGTGTTGCCAACAGCCAATGACCAACCCTTCATCTCATGTCCTTACACATTTCTATAACATATATAATTAGATAGTAGTAGTGAAATAATGAGAACCAGCTTTTATTGAAATTCACATATTTAATATTGATTAACCCGAGACCTCTACATTGTCTACGCCCATAATGCGCGCGCAAGCCTTCAAGTGCCATAGCAATCGGGACCTCCCACTTATTTGAAAGGAGGATGTTGAACTAATTAGAACTTATCACGATGTAACGATATCGTTTCTGGATTGATCAATTTTAATTCTATCAGTCATATTTTGATTTATACAAATTTATATTTATAAAACGTATATAACATCCCAGCGTTAAGCTCTTCACATTACTATAAGCACATTGGGAAAATGGGTGCCTTATTTATTTACAATTGATGACTATCGCTATGGTTACTGTGGTAGTTTTGCTTTGTTTTCAGATTACACACGGTGTGGTATTGCTGGAAATATTGAGGTACAGCCAGGTAATGCTCGCATCGTTGGTGGCGATGAAGCCAATCCCGGTGCATGGCCATGGACAGTAGCATTGTACCAGAATCATAAAACTCGGAATACTATTTTTGTTTGTGGTGGAACTTTGATTTGCAAAAACTGGGTTATGACAGCAGCACATTGCTTGGAACGGAGAGGTAGACTATTGCCACCAGCAAAGGTATATAGTCAATAGCAACACACATTAATTAATCTGTATAGTTTTCATGAATGTTTGCTTGAAAGTTGTCTAAAACGCTGTCAGCTGAACTGTTGACTAACCACAACAGGAGATATAAAAATAAGAGTGAGTGACACGGACATGACATAGAAGACATAAATAGAAGGTGCAATTACTTTTCAATTTATTTTATCCAATCTTTGAGTAACCGTGGTTACATAAGACTAGTAAATACATGCGTTTAGTTGAACCCTCGTAAAATAATTTGCTCTAACCAGTCCAACGATCTTGAGACGCGCATTACAAACAATTTAGCAACATAGTTGGCCATGTTGTCTTCTGTTATGACAGAGACTGTAAAAGCGTGTTTGCATACAGGCCATTGCTAGTGTGATTCAATTGATTCAATTTCTTGTTGTTATCTTTATATTGTGTGACAAAAACATTTCTTTAGTGTAGTTCTTAAAGTTTTAAATTGCTGTAATGAAGAACAATTTACATACAATTCAATTAATGTGTTCTATTTTTCAGCTTTTTGTTCGACTAGGAGAGCATGAACGTGCCAAAGATGAAGGTTTTGAACAGACCATCCCTATTGCAGATTATATAGTGCACCCTAACTATAATGGCGAAACATATGACTATAATATTGCATTATTGAAATTAGAAGAACCAGCTCAACTTGTCAGCTATGTGCAGACACTATGTCTCCCAAATGGTGAGTATTTTTCATATATAACCATTTGAAATTATCCGGTGGAGTGGGAGAGTGTTAGCAGTGCACTATTTATGGTGTTTTGCCTGTTACACCTTATCACTCACGGAATGAACACCAGAAACCAATCACACTCTTCAAAAAGTTAGTAAACATTACATTCAATACATTCCATGTATTTCTGATTAGAGGTGACCCATTTGAAATCTTGGAAATGAAATAGAGGAAATTGGTTAGTTGCATACTTTTTTAATATTTTTGTTTCAAATATACAGAAAATATATTATATAGAAACGTGACGACGAAAGTACCTTGAAAAGTGTGCTTTCATGAATCTATCGCAACCAAATCCATCAGAGTAGAAACGTGACGACGAAAGTACCTTGAAAAGTGTGCTTTCATAAATCTATTTCAACCAAATCCATCAGAGTAGAAATGTGATGACGAAATACCTTGAAAAGCGTGCTTTCATAAATCTATCCCAACCAAATACATCAAAGTAGAAACGTGACGACGAAAGTACCTTGAAAAGTGTGCTTTCATAAATCTATCCCAACCAAATCCATCAGAGTAGAAACGTGACGACGAAAGTACCTTGAAAAGTGTGCTTTCATAAATCTATCCCAACCAAATCCATCTGAGTAGAAACGTGACGACGAACGTACCTTGAAAAGTGTGCTTCCATAAATCTATCCCAACCAAATCCATCAGAGTAGAAACGTGATGACCAAAGTACCTTGAAACGTGTGCATTCATTAATCTATCCCAACCAAATCCATCTGAGTAGAAACGTGACGACGAACGTACCTTGAAAAGTGTGCTTTCATAAATCTATCCCAACCAAATCCATCAGAGTAGAAACGTGATGACGAAAGTAGCTTGAAAAGTGTAACTTTCATAAATCTATCCCAACCAAATCCATCAAAGTAGAAACGTGACGACGAAAGTACCTTGAAAAGTGTGCTTTCATAAATCTATCCCAACCAAATCCATCAAAGTAGAAACGTGACGACGAAAGTAGCTTGAAACGTTTGCTTTAATAAATCTATTCCAATCAAATCCATCAAAGTAGAAACGTGACGACGAAAGTACCTTGAAACGTATGCATTCATTAATCTATCCCACCAAATCCATCAGAGTAGAAACGTGACGACGAAAGTACCTTGAAAAGTGTGCTTTCGTGAATCTATCCCACCAAATCCAT